GGACCCACCCCTGAGGCTCTGCACCCTCCAAACCCTTCGTGGTCATTCCCGCTGGTTTTGCTTTTGTGCCATCACGCTAAGGGGGAGAGTGCTGGAAATTTTGTCCACAGCCTCTCAGCGGCTGCTGTTTAGGATCAGGGAGTTTCCCAGCTGGACGGGGCCTGGGAGAGGTGTTTGTTTCCTTTTCAGATTGGCCCTCAGATTCCTGGTGGGGAGGTAGTCAGTGGGACAGAGCAGCCCCTCCCAACCTTTCTGCTGCCCACACAATACAAGCCGTCGTGGTATTTTCTTATTATTGCAGAATTTATGAAACCAGAAGGAGATACATAGGAAGCGATTTCCTGCAAGGAATTGGCTTACACAATTGTGGGGGCAGGTGGGGCAGACCTGAAATCCAGGGATCAGGCTGGCAGGAGGGGAGTCTGCACGTCAGGGTGAAGCTGCTGTCCACAGGCAGAATGTTTTTGTCTTCCGCGAGGAAGCCGCGGCTCTGGGTCTACTCTAGGGCCTTGCAACTGATGGGGTCAGGCCCACCTAGATTATCTGAGATCATCTCTTTTACTTAACATCTGCTGACTGTGGACTTCAATCACCTCTGCAACATATCCTGACAGCAGCACCCGCATTACTGTTGATAGAACACCTGGGATCGTAGCCTAGCAACATTGACTCAGCAAACTGAGCTGATGACCCAGGCTCTGATGCCTCACTTCCCTTTGGGCCTCGCCTTCCCCCTTCCTCAGCTGAAGTGACTGATCTGGGCAGCACTACTTTCTTTTCTTCCAGGAAAAGTATAAGAATCTGAAAGCTTCTGAAGGCCCCTAAAAGATCTTGCACCCCAACACCACATTTCCAACAGAGCTCGCAGAGGGCCTCGGGGCTACTCCTGCACCGGGAGCTCAGATGATTGTGGTCATGCTCCTTTTCTTTACAGGCCAAATGCCTCAATTAAATCTTAATAATGTGCTATTTAATTCTCATAACCTTCAGTAATTTCTCTGTTTATCGACAAAGTGTATCAAGCTTGTAGGAGTGGCTTCTATGCCTTCTTCATTAAGGTGTTAAGGGAAATGTGATTTTAACAAAGGGGATTTTGTGGTGGTTTCCTTGGATTCGCTTAGTTCTGTTTTTCAATTGATGGATTGATTCTGGTTTATGAGAATCTCTGTGAGATAAATGTAATGAGAAGGAGTGTAGACTGTCATTGTAGGCTATTTCTCTTCCTCAGTCTTTTTAGAACAAACCTCAGCCCTGCTCTGAAATTCACCAGGTTGGTGAAGAACTAAGAGGTCAAATGAGACCCATGAATGATTTGGCAATAATTATGTTATTATATATGGTAATGATGCATAGTATTATTACTTATAAAAACTAACATATAGCCATAAGGTAGGGCTCCTGGTTGAGAGGTGACAGTGGAGCTGTATTCGAGTGATGGAGCCACTGTGTTCAGGCATTCTATGCTTCTTTGATGCTCATAACAGCCCATTTTACCTATGACAAAACTGAGGCACAGACTCCAGATGGCTGAACCAGTGTCACAAGTTCATAAGCGCTAGGGACAGGATTTGAACCCAGGCTGTCTGACACTGGCCTCCAGGCTCTTAGCTATGCGTGAAAGGGCTGCACACTAGATGCTTGAGATATTTTTGGGTTCGAATCTATGATGCATCACCTAAGATGACAGTTTTTTGTGACCTTTGTTTTACATAACAAAGGAGAGGTTGCTGCCATAAATGAAAACCTACTCAGACGACTTGAAGTTGGCCCATTGGCAAAGAAAGTAGCGCTAAGAAGTGATGACATCGTGTGCAGCCTGGGCCTTCACAGGTGCTGCTGGCAGCTGGCAGCTCAGAGCCATGGACAGCTGCTTGTGGGTGACCTATTATTCAACACATCCCAGGTGCTTCGAGGGTGGCTGGGTTGGGGACATCATCCCCTGCTGGTGGCAGGTGTCCCTGCCTTTCAAGACCAAGGCCAGTGGCCTGGCCAGGAGTCTAGAAGCATCTCCGAAGTGTGTGGAGCATTGATCAACCTCTGCCGTGTGCAGAGCTGGGCAGGCCCTTCGTGGGCAGAGCGGGTCTACCTGCCACGTCCTCCCTCCTGCGCATGCCGGGGCATAAGCTTTTAACATCCTGATGGATTTCTCCCTCTCTTTCACTTAGAAAACCCGATTCCCATCACCCAGAAGGAACATGGGATTAATGGCAAGCTTCAAGCGCCTGTGGTTCTTTGGTAATTGCTTTAAAAACACACATCCTTATAGCCACCTTTAGAACGTAGTTGATTTCAGGCAGTTTGGAAAGAATTTCTGGTGAGATGAGGCAAAATGGTGATTATCTGCAAGTGTCATGCCTGTGTCCTCACATCAGATCGCTGTTTTCCTTCGCCCCTGCAGGAATGCTGAATTGCCATGTAGCTGCATCTTTCTACCCCAATAAAACACAGTGAACCCCGGCTAGGATTCCTACAAACGCAGGAGTACAGAGGTTGGGAAGTGATTTTAATTACTAAGCCAGCTGTCAGAGATGTGCATCGGGGAGGCAAGAACATTGCTCCCGAGTAGAGATCTGGGGACCTTGTTAACCTGCAGGTGCTGATTCTTGGGTCTGGGTGGGGCCTGAGCGTGCGCCTCTAACACACTCCCAGGAGCTGCTGATGCTTCAGGTCCAAGTAGCAAGGAGTTAGAGGATTGCTCAGACCACTCATGGGAGAAGAACAAGAGAAGCCCACAGAGGAAACACTGGCCATGAACTCATATCTACAGTAACACTAACAGGTGCCCCGGGCACGGTGTCCCATTTGCAGGGAGGGGAGAATGAGAAGTCAGACTGGAATCACTGGCCTACACGGGGCAACTTTCCTTCATCATCCACCAACCTAGCCCCGGTTTAGAAGGGCCTGTGGGGCGGAACTGGAGGTGCAGATATTTTCCTACTCGGGTCTCACAAAACTAAGGAGAAAGGCATGCCCGTTGCACCCACTTCGTGCGCCGCCCACGTGAAGCTATGCTGCTGCTTTGGCATCATGTATCTCTGTGACTTTGTTTAAAGGTCACCTGAGTAGGCAGGTGCTAAATTTCCTCATTTGATACGAGCCTGTGCCACGCCGCAGACGCTGAACCCACCCCGCCCAAAGCCCATTTCGAATTTCCATAGCAAATCCACCGCTCGGGCTGAGCAAGTGAAAGCTAGAACCTGCAGCTGGTAGTCTTTTCTAAAAAGATTCTGGTTGCTTTACTATGTTTAAGAGTAGAGATGCCAGACCCCACGTGCATGCCTGAGCCCCCTGGGAGGTCATCTTTGAAGTGAGCCTGGCCTGTACGTAGAAAAGAGCATCATCACAGCCGGTGGCCAGGAGACGGCTGTTTAATCCTGTTTTCTTAATTAAATGGAAACAAAGTTCTTTAGATGCTGTTCTCTGGAGGTCAAGTTTCTCTCGCTCACGATAGCTGGGATCATGATGCCTGTTTGTGTGGAGCAGGGATGGAAATTCTGAGCGAGTTATTTCTCCCCTATGAGCCGGTACAGGCATTGGCTGGCATGGTGCCCTCTCCTTGGTGGGTCTGATTCTGTCCTGCAAGTGTAGTTTGTCTGTTCTCCCCTTTAATCTGTTCTCCTTCACTGCCTTGCAACCCCCACCTCTGTGCTGGCCTCTAGACAGTCAGAAAGTGGGCGATGGGCTGTGGCAACTGACCTACGATCAGTGTCTAGACTAGACCAGGGGTGGGCAAACTTTTCGACTCGAGGGCCACAATGGGTTCTTAAACTGGACCGGAGGGCCGGAACAAAAGCATGGATGGAGTGTTTGTGTGAACTAATATAAATTCAAAGTAAACATCATTACATAAAAGGGTACGGTCTTTTTTTTTTTAGTTTTATTCATTTCAAACGGCCGGATCCGGCCCGCGGGCCATAGTTTGCCCACGGCTGGGCTAGACACAGATGCATGAAAAGTACTTTCTCCTGAGAGTCTTCTTTTTTTAAAAAAAAAAAAGGTTCATTTTACCTACAGTTAAAAACAAAAAAAGGCAAGCCAGCTTTAGGGAGAAGAAGAGCACACGAACTTGTGTGTTCTAAAGTACGTGAACCCTGCTGTCTGCTGCAGTGTTGAGGACTTACCTCTGTTTCAGGAGCTCACGTAGCGGGTCTCTACGGGTTGGCAGCTGGGCGCTGCCGTCTAAGTTGGGGACCATCTTTGACTCCGGGTCAAATTGAGAGTCTAGATTCTTGCAAACAGGAGGGACCATGGTGTCCTTCCATCCAGTAGACATTTAGTGGAGGCAGACCCTGGTGTTGTTTGGAGCTGTGAAGATCAAACAGACACCCCACCACCACCACCCCCCCACCCACCCCCCGCCGTGGTATCTACCTGATAGGACCAGAGAGAGGGAAGCATCACACCCAGGTCACAGTGGGCAGAGAGCCCCGTGGGGAGAAGCTTCCCATGAGAACATCACAAGATCCAAGTCAGCTATACTGTTTGGGTTTCGTCTTGTTCAAAAGGAGGGACGTGCAGGTGGGTGGGCGTGAGCAGATGGTGCTCCTGGGTGCCCTGTGCAGAGAATGAGAGGGTCCCCTAATACAGCCTGGTAGAGGGAAGGAGTGGCGACAGGCGGGCATGACAGAGTCCACTCTACAAGACACGCAGTGGCCTCCAGAGAGCAGAAGTGAGAATAATGTGCTATGCAAACACTCTGCCCCCTTGCAGTGTTTGCTAGCTTTTGGACTAGGCAACTCTGAATTATAATGTTCTTTTGCCACTGACTTGCTCTGTGACCTTGAGCAATGATCTCGCTCCCTTCCCCGTCTGATACTCAGCTCATCTAGCTGTAAAAATGAGGGTCTTGACTTACTGTATAGGGCTCTCAGATGACCAGCAAATAACCCCGATTTGACAGTTCTTGGTTGGTTAAGAAGTGCACTGGCCCCGGTGCCCCCGTGGCTTCCCCAGGCCAGGGGCAGGATACTCATGTCTCTCTTGTCCTTTCTGTGTTCCAGGAATAGAGCTGTGTCCCCCTGGAAAACGGTTCATGATCACCATGGTGGCGAGCTTCGTGGCCATGGCGGGGCAGCTCCTCATGCCCGGGCTGGCGGCACTGTGCCGGGACTGGCAGGTGCTGCAGGCGCTCATCATCTGCCCCTTCCTGCTCATGCTGCTGTACTGGTCGTGAGTATCCCCGCATGCTGCCCATGCAGCTGCCCGCACGCGGAAGGCCGCGCCCACCCCAGGAGACACAGAGGAAGCATAGGGCTGGGACCCACTCTCCCCAATCTCCCCCTTGTGTCAGTGTGTGTGTTGTGAGGGAATGTTGCTCTCTCTTTTTTATTTTATTTTATTTATTTTTTAAATGTCTTGTCAGAGACATTTACCAGCTCTGACCACGTGCTCTTCTCAGTCTGGTGTCACACCTATTCTCTGGGCTATTCCGATGTGATTTTCATGAATGGATTTGCGAAGGGGGGATCCTTGGGTTGGGAGGAGCAATAGGGAGATGTTCAAGGAAATTCAGCAAAGCCACCTGGTCTCCTCTGGACTACAGAGGGGCAAGTGCCAGGCCCTCGGTCGCCACCCAGCAGCTGCAGCCCAGGCTTGTGTGGCCCACAGAGCTGGGAACAGCTGCTGTGTGGTCCTGTGGGGGAGTCTGCTCGCCCTGCTCTGACACGTTCAGGGGGAATTTTAGGGCCACGTACACCTTTTCCGTTTCTAAGGTTTAAGTTTTGGGCTTGCTGACTTTAGGAAAAAAGAAACTGCTAAGCACACAGGTTTTAAGCTATGACCTGGGCAACTAGATTTTTAAAACTCCCAGGGGATTAACGTGTAGCTGAGATTGGAAACCACCACTCTTAGACAGTTGTTAGGGAAAAAAGGAGTGTCCTGACCTTTTTATAAATAACCCTTCTCTTTCTTTGCCTTCCGTCCCACCCCCACCCCCCATGCCAACACTCTTGCTTCCCCACAAGTACAGGGTACTGTCGCGTAGATTATAATACTGTGCTATTTCTATTCCTTCGTCACCAGTGGCAACCAGATGTCCGGCAAGAAGTCAGTCAGTTGTGTCTCAGCTTTGTTCACAGAGCAGAGAGGGCACTACTGGGGCTTCCTTTTTTCAAAGGTGCCAGGGAGGAGAAGAAAGCCCCTGCCTTTTAACTTTGCCAGGGCCACCCCCCAGGTTGTCGCCCCCAGCAGATAAAAGTCGGTGAGCGAGGCGCCTTTCCTCTAGAGCCCTGCCCTTGCACACTCCGTCATAAGAGCCTCAGCAGCAGCGAGGAGCCTAAAGGCCATCTGCTGGCGAGGGCCCCATCGCGCAGCGGCCACACCGCGCTCCTCTCACCAGCGCCTCTGCCAGGCTTCCAGACCTGAGGTCCTCCCGCAGGAACCACACAGGTTTCAGATCCTGCTCCCTCCAGCAGGATGGCCCTGGCCAGTGTGGCTCAGTTGGTTGGGGTGTCCTCCCGTGCACCAAAGGGTTGCCGGTTTGATTCCTGGTCAGGACACATGCCTGTGTTGCTGGATCCCAAGTAGGGGATGTGCAGAAGGCAGCCTATCGATGTTTCTCTCTCCCTCTCCCTTCCTCTCTCTCTAAAAATCAATGAAAATATTTAAAAAATAAGAGGCAGAGAATGAAATGGTTTCCCCAGAGCAGGAAGCAGTGGGCAGCTCTTCCCTTAATCAGTCAGAGGAAGCCCTTCCTGTTCCTCCCTGCGCCCGGGGCCGGGCTGGGCTTGTTTTGTACTTTGGGGCATTTATTTATTTAACAAGTGTTTACATAGTGTCTGCTCTATGCCAGACGCACATGCTAGCACTACGCAAAGAGTAGACCATTCAGTCTTCCTATCCACCACCCCACCGAGAAGATGGCACAACTGAGGCGCCCAGCTGGCCCTGAAACCCAGTACTTGTGCTGTCTCCCGCCTTCCCTCGGCTGCCATCCACTTGTCTTGGGAGAGGAGCCCCGTTGCCCTAGAGCATCTTCCGTGTGGTCTGGCATCCTCCGCCTCCCTCCTCTCACTTCCTGGCCTCCACAGCACCCAAGGGCAGAAGTGCTGTCTGCTGGCCCCTGGGGGTTGTTGGGCCGGGGTAGGCACAGCCTTTTGGAGACCCACACTCCTGTGAGGGCAAACAGGGTGTCTCCATTACCTCCAGGCTCTGAGTCTCAGCCCTGGTTCTGCTCCCACCTGTCCCAGGTAGGAGGGCACCTGATGGAGAGAAATGGCAGAGAAGGGTTTCCTGGAATGGGCCTGGGATCCTGGCCCACGTGGGAAAGGGCTGAGGAGGGGGCGTTATTTGTCTTATTCTTGTTCATTTAAATTTAAAATGCATCAGGGTTAATGACAGGCAAGGTAAGGCATTCATTTACTTACGTACATTATCAAACCTAAGGAAAATTATTTGAAACAAAACTCTACAGTGGAAAGGGTATCCAGGGTACTCTGACAAGTAAAATGTGTGTGTGGACAGACAGATGGACGGATGTCCCGATGCACTGGCACCGTGTAGTTACTGCTTTGGCACCGCTGTCTGGATCAACCTGCTCTGCTCACACATGTTAACGGCTGTGATCGTAATCGGCATTATTTTTTATTTATATTATTATTTAAGGTGCTTGGCACATGTCTGGCCTACAGCAGGTGCTCACTAATATTAGCTACTGTTGTTACGATGATTATATCACCTCTTAGCATGTGTGGCAGCCTGGGAGTACCGGGCAGGTAAAAGACACCAGGAGTGAGAGACGTATTCCATTTCACCTAGCAGATCGAAAGCCTCCGTAACAGTCATTGGCTTTTAAAGGCCACTGCACTGCCTCTCCTTTTTTGTCATTTCTGATTCCCTCCTGCCTCCCATCCGCTGCAGCGGGAAGCTGTGCCTCCCCAGGCTCTGGTCTGACAGGGTGAAGTGGGCTGTTGGGGGAGGTGGTGAGCTGCAGCATCAGTCCCAGGACCAGCTATTGGTGACAAAATATTGAAAGTCGCTTGCTTTCCTTTAAAGAGCAAGTATTTATTTTGTGCGCCCAGGGGGCCAGCAGTGCCCTTGGTGCTTTGCAGTGACTCTAAGAGCTGTGCATGAACAAGGGTCATAAACCAAACTGTTTGACACAAGTCGCCACAACCAGGGTCCTGGGTAACAACAAAGAGGGGGTTAGAGGGATCTTCTGGTTCCAATTGTGAGCTAAGCTGACAGGGAACCTCCAAACACATACAGATGCCGAATAAGATACACATTAACCAAAGTGTTACACAGCGCTGAGCTCCGTGCAAGCCCCGGGAGTTCCCTGGGCCCAGACCAAGCAGAGCATTTGCGCAGGACTGACCAGGCAGCTGCAGGGCATCTGAACCGGAAAAAGGAGCTTGGGCTTCAGCACCTGCACAGGGGGCTGGAGCTGAGATCTAAGGCCCGTATCTCTTAGAATCGGGCCCTTAAATGAAACCAGGGGTCAGAACTGTTGGTGAAAACGGAGCTGAGGGTGGAAGAGTTCATCCCACCAAGAGACCTAACTCCGAAGCTGGCTGACGGCCTGGGGCTGAGGGTGGAAGAGTTCATCCATAGAAACTGGAGCCTCGATGTCTGCACCACACATGCTGTGTGTTCTAAATTCCAAGGCTCGGACGTTTAAGAACCAGTGAGTTCTTCAGAACCTCAAGGCCAAAGGGAAACCCCCCGGGGAGAACCACTGGGGCCAGGCACTCAAGATTCACTCCAAAGAAATGTTCACCAAGGATAAGCTCACAGGCAAAATTCACAGAGCTCATCACAAGGGCCAAAAACTATAAATTGGGGAGCTTGCATACCAGGAACTCCAGAAAATAGAGCAATCTGAGAGGTAAGTTAATTAGCTAACTTATTAAGTAGTTACCACAACCCCACACCAATTGCTGTTCTAGATACTAAGTATTCTAGATACTGCTCATGCATACGAGCAGGTCCCCACTCAGTGAAAACTCCCTTACAGTGGGGCGTGTGGGGTGGGAGGGAGCCCGCTGACCATGAAGCCATCAACAAGTGTAGGGCATGGATTCACTGACCAGCACATGACAAAGGTGAGACGCTGCCGGGGACAGCAAGGGACAGCAGGGTGATCAGAAGGGCTGCTCTGAAGAGGCGACATTCCTTTCTGAGACATAAATGATCAGAAGGAGGAAGTCACAGTTCTGCAAGGAAATGTGTTCCCAGCACACGGGAGCAGCCAGGGCAACAGCTGCCTCCCACTGCTTTTTCTGGAAGAGGAAGCAAGGCCAGTGTGCCTGGAACATGAGGGGAAAGGGGCGGGGGGCAAGCTCAGATGCAGGTGGGTCAGACCAGGGGGCCTGAAGCCCAGCGATTTCTTCTAAAAGCAGGAAGACATGTTGGAGGTTTATGCAGGTCAGGGATATGCTCTGGTGCATGCTCTGGGGTCGCTGTCTGCAGTGTGGCGAGTGGTCGTGGATGGGTGAGAGGGGCAGAGGGCTGCCACACTGGCTGGCCCGTGAGAGGTGGTGTGGTGCCTGCACTGGGCGGGGGAGGGTGACTGGAAGGGGTCTGACCCCAGGTACACTCTGTAAGTGGCTTCGTGGAGGCTTGCCAGTGGGTCTGCGTTGGCGGGTGGGATAAGGAACGGCAGTAACTCGGGTTTGGATGGTTTGCTGAGATGGGGCCGGAGCTCCCTGAAACGTGGAGGCCCATCTAGGAAATGGAGCGTGAAGTCCTGTCCTGAGAGCAGTTGGAAGGGTGACAGAAATGAGATCACTGGCTGAGGGGAGCTTTGAAAAGGCGGGTTTTGATCTTGGGGACAATAGGGAACCACTGTAAGGAGTGCAGAGACTTGATTGAAACCACAGCCTGCATTAAATTACAGGGTTTATTCGCATCCAGATCTGGTGAGCCAACAGAGCAGGAGGCGAAGTCTCTGAGTAGTTACTCAGTTCCCAAGAGGAGGGCCGCTCCACATCACGGGGGCCACACAGGAGCCACCGGGTCAGTCAGGAGGTTGAGGGAAGGAGTGGGCAGGAGCCTTCACTGTGGTTTCCTCAGGGAAGGAACTGGTGAGGCAGGTGAGCAGGCCTCGTGTTGGCTGGTTTGAATAACTTCAGGGGGCCGTGGGGCACCCAGACTCTCCGCTGGTTGTCTGGTACCTGGCCCTGGGTGGTTAGGGCAGGGGAATGATGCCAGAGAGCGAGAGCCCCATCGAG